CTTTTTCTCCCATGGAGGAGCTGGCAGTGCCCAACCCCCAGCGCCACCACAGCTCACGCTGAGTAATTTTCCAAAGCCTTAGCGAATAGGCACTTCCCTTCCACCTCATTTGCATGAAGCCCTTTGTTCTTGGAGCCTATGATATTTCTTATTCACAGAACAATCTTATGATTTTCCCATCACAATGCTGACTGGGGGTGGGAGGAAGGGGCGTGGTTGCAGTGAATGTTTGTTAACAAGCGAAACAGGGCTTACAGACCTTCAACAATGTTAGGGTAACATTGTGTGCGTTTGTGATCCAAGGTGATTAACAGCAATAGGAAGTGAACAGTAACTTCCGCTCACAAATCCCATAGTACCAATCAGACAGCCCCGCCCGGCCCGGCCCTGCCCAACCCAGCCCAGCCCGGCCCTGCCCAGCAATGGTTAAAAGTCTCACCTGCCTGGCTCTTCTTACTGAGAGTGGAAGGCCAGAGGCAGAAGTCAGAAGTGGCAGTATCATCATCTGTAAAATGAGGGGATGAGTTCTAAGGTCCCTTTGGGCTCTAGGTTCTAAGACCATGAATTCCAAGGTGGGAGGGGGGGCGGGAGGGTGGGAATCGGGTGTGGTGGTGGGGTGGGCGGAGGTAGGCAGATACACTCCCCTCCCTCAGAAGGCCTTTCCCAGCAGGGGTGAGAAGCTGGAGAGGGGCTGGCAATACCAGAAGCTAACACTTGCAAGATGACACGTGAAAACTAGCACCGCCTAGGCGGCGGCAACTCTCTGCTTTTCATAACTCCTTCCACCCTCCCCTGGCCTGTACAACAGCCCTCCCAGAGAAGCAGTGCTGATAAGATCAAGTTTAAAAACCTCAAGTGGTTCTGGAGCCACGGAGGCCAGCTGGAACCCCCACCCCCGCCTCCCAGCCCCCAAATGCTACCCTGGGACGACAGTCTTCTTAAACCCAAACGACCATTCAATTCCACTCGTGGCCATGTCTGTATTGAACATTCATCTTTCAAGGTCTATCTCTATGGGACCGAATGGACAGCAGCCTTGAATTTATGTTAATGGGGTGGGGGGTGGGGTGGGGGGAACCATTGCAGAAAAGAAGGCGAGGATGCACACCCAACTCGGAGACTACAACCAGGATCAATGACTGAGCCATGTAGCAAAGGCCACGTGTCTGCTCGGCTGTCTAGTAGAGTCTCCAACAACATTTAAAATTCTCTTTTTAAAAAAAAAGAGAAATCAATGGATAACCCCCTGGGCCCCTCCCCCAGTCCACCCCATCCGCAAGGTAGGAAGCCATGTGAGCAGGAAGGACAGGGGAGCAGATCAGCTGTAGCGGGTCCCATGCGTCATGCTTCCCCGCGGCTGTACCCCACGCAGGCACCGAGCACAGGCTGCAGAGGTTCCCCAGCTGGCCTTTCCACGCGGAGCATCAAGGGGAACCCGGGCTGGCAGAGCTCAGAGTTACAGGCGGGCCACTTCTCGGTGGATTCAGGTCAATGCTCAGCTCACGTGAAAGGAGCCAGAATAAATGAGCGATTTAAACACAGGAAAGAAGTTACACTTAAAAACGTCCACATGTGCCCCCTACAGAAGCAGAGTTCACGCAGACAGGCATGTGAATCGAGGAAAGAAAGAAAAAATGCTTCTCGTGTACTTAAAATATACTGTAGTAATAATTAGAATTCCATATGGTTTCACTTATTTTGATGCCGAAGCCTCATTAAAGCCCTTAATATGGGGCCCTGCCTGTAAACTCTAATACGCTTTTGAATTTATCCCCCCTCGACCTTCTTCTCTATTTTACCTGAGACATTGTGCTGATGTTTTTATTACCCGCAGCATGCCAGGATCGCTGTACCTTTTGGGTTTATAGACGCTGGCTAACACAAATTGACATTCATATTTCAATTAATGAGCTCCGGTTGTGGTTTATAGAAAACAATACAACGGATTTCCTCGGTTTACAGTACTTTTAACCAAGCACCCTAGTCAGCAGGGACTGTAATGTCTTGGGCAGAGAGTGCTAACAGAGACTTTAAAGGGATTATAGTGTGATTTTTAGAGCTTACAAACAATGCAATTGTCTGGGATTTGATGAGTCATTATTTGAAGTTCCCAAGAAATGTTTATGAAGCACATCACAATGTGTTCTGTATGAACAAAGAGTAAAACTTACTGTTGGTAGATTCTGGGCCTCATAGCCCATGGTGGGGAGGCAGGAGATCCCTACACTTCAAAAGAGAGACTATCAACCCCTTCCAAGTCTCAGGCTTCTATAATGACCATTGTTGCTGGGGGCTAGCAAGTCGGTTCCAGTTCCGACTCACAGCACCCCTGTGGGGAGAGAAAGATGCCTTGCGGGGGAGGGGGGGGCGGGCCTGGGTCATCCTCATCATTATTGTTCTGTGTGAGCCCACTGTGGTGGAAGCAATAACAGAATCACGTCAAAGTTCTCTCATTCTGTGGGGCTGCATCTCTACTTCCCATCTCTGTTGGCTACATAAACGTGGGTTTTGTTTCACACCCTATTCTTGGGTGATTTGAGTCTTTGTGTCCTAAAGAATGCATACCTTGTGTGGTGAACACATTAAAGACACATGCCATGTAAACATGTCCACACACAACTGGCTAGTCTATCAACTGAACCAGGGAACCAACCCCACTGCTATCAAGTGGACGCCGACTCAAGGTGACTCTGCAGGACAGGGTAGAACTGCCCCAGTGAGTTTCTAAGACTATAACCGTTGACAGGAGTAGAAAATCCTACCTTGCCCCCTAAGGAGTGGTGGGTGGTTTCAAACTGCTGACCTTGCAGTTAGCAACCCAATGCCTAACCACCATGCCACTCAGGCCCCCCTTTAAGTCTATCAACTACAGAAAACTTGAATTCTACTTATTAAAAGAGTTCTGGAGAGTTCTAAAAGTGCCGTGACCCCAAATCTCACACTGTAATTGCGGAACCAAAACCCAGCAACTGCCCCAGCCTGGGCCCTGAAGCCTCAGAGGCCCACAGAGTCTTTGACAGCTCCTGGCGTTGGCTCAACAAGCTGGCTTGAATGCCTTTAGAAAGCAGCCGGAACCACCTTCTCAAACCCTCTCTTGAGGTTGCTGGCTGTGTGCTTTCCATGAACAAAATGCATTAAGCTGTGCTAAGCAATGAAGTCAGCGGGAAGTTGAGGGGTGTCCAGTCACCGCTGGATAACTGAGTCTCAGGAGTCTCTGCTTGATGTGCGTCTACACCGCAGGGGCACCTGGAGGGACTGCTGGCAGTGCCTTGAAGCCTATGCTTCTAGCCTCCTCCTCGGCTCCACTAGGGGGGCAAGACACACAGTTGGGGGCAGTTGGGATGGGCTGGGTGGCACGTGTTCTCTCTGGTATAGTGAAGGAAGCATGGACACATGTGGAAGAGACCACACTACAGAGGAGATTTGTCACAAGCAAAGGACTTCAACACTGTGCACTTGTGGTGTTTTAGCCGGCTACCACTGACTCTCCTCTGCTGGTTGGCGTCCTTGACAGAGACGTCCAGAACCCTGATTTACTGCCGAGATGAGGCTACTACTCTAAGCCCCGTTTGACAGGTAAGGCGCGGAGGCCCAGAGAAGGGCAGTCATTGGGTTAAATCTATAAAATCACAGTCAGGACAAGGTAGACCTCTGGCTATTGACCAAAGGAAGGCGATTGTAATTACCCTTAAAGAATTTTGGCAACATGCTGGCCTATGTATCTATCTATCGAACAGCTATAGGCAACATATACCAAATCAAAAGCAACCCAACCAAGCCCTCCGTTATCAAGTCACTTCCGATGCATAGAGGTCCTGTAAGACACGCTCCGCGGGCCCCACTGGGTTTCTAAAACTTCAACCTTGATGGAACGCAGGCAGCCTCCTTGTTCTCCCACAGCGCGACTGATAGTTTCCAACCCCTGACCTTGCAGTTAGCAGCTCAATGGGTAAGCCACTATGCCACCAGGGTTTGTTCTGGGCAATGACTCTAGCTACTACTATAGAAAACATTGAAGCGGATGCTTCTGGTGCCTCAGGATAAGTGTACGGCCTTGGCTTTGAGTCGGCATCCACTCAATGGCAGGGAGTGTGTGTGGGTCTGGCAGACGATTGACAGCTCTTTTAGAGCCTGATGCTGCTTTCATTCTGTGATTAGGCGGACAATTAGTTTGATTGCTCGGGGTATATATAAGACAAATGCAGCCACGGTCAAGGGTTTGGTTCCTTGAGGGCCTACTGGCTTCCTACAGATGCACCTCATTCCAACACTGCTGCTGTCTGCACCCTTAGCTACAGCCAGACAGCCTGCAGAGTAATGCAGCTAGCTGCAGACGCCTGCTCATTGAAGTAGAGGCAGCCAGAACTCATGCTGGCATGCGCAGAGCCCGGTGTGCTATGCGTGTTATGTACGAGCGTAACGTGCAGAATGAAAAGCCATTATACTTCCCCAGAACCGAGCCATGAACGTCAGAGCTTCGGTGGGGCTTCCTAAATGGCACAAGTTATTGCTTCTGCAAATCTCAAACAAAGCCCCAGCGCTCTCTCAGTTCCCTCCCGGCAGTCTTCCTGTGGGGACAGGCAACACGCAAGACATACGCAGAGCTGCTCTCTTTTGGAAGCCAAGAACCTTCTTCCCCTTTCTGGAACATTTTGGCTGTCCCCTTCTCCAACTGCTCTATTAAATAACTTCCTATTTCCCTCCTGTTCCAATAGCATTATTTTCCATATCACTCTGTGGGGCCCTAAGTCACTGCTTCACTGAATTATTAGCTGTTTCTCAGTCTGTTCTCTCCAACTATAGAGTAAGGTTTGGATGGTTAAAAGCCATGATTTATTGTCCTTTCATACCCCTTTCAGAATATAGCATACCGTACCTCTCCACTTAAAATGATACATTTTAAAAAATCACGTGTCTGCCTGGCTGAAATAAATGAGAGGTGACTGAGTCTGAGGGCCAGGGCATCTATCTGTACAGCAGCTGGCACCTTCTGGACACGTCTTTAAAAGGCAGACGTGAAAAGCAGCACGCAGCAATGCTGACATCAAACCTACCACGTCCCTCCAACAACAGCCCACACCCAGAAAACGCGGGAAGACGGATGCTCTTTAAAGAGTGCTCAGAGGGGCCCCCAGCACCATCACCTCCTCACTTGAGCTCACACAGTGGGCAGCGGCTCACAAATAGCAGCTACCACATACACACACACACACCCCAGATATCCCCCAATGGCCACCGCGGACACCCCTTCATTCCCAGCAGCTGCCCTGCTACTGTGTGTGGATCGACACCGGGGAGTCCTGAGGACCAAGGTCTTGCAGGAAGGTTAGCATACCCAGGGCCCCTTGGCATCCCAGCTAGCCACTGCCATGGAGGCCACGAACTTCTTTGGAGTGAGCAGCAAAAGGAATGAAGGCGGCCAGGGAGTGCCGGGGTGGGTGGGAGGGTGGCCTGGTGGTGTAATGGTGGCACATTGGGCTGCTAACTTTGAAGTTAGCAGTTCTA